CCCAAAACCCCAAAACCCCAAAACCCCCAAAACCCCAAAACCCCAAAACCCCGAATGAGGGGATTAAAATAGAAAATTTAAATTTAAAATGGATTTACAGTATGAGACCTTACTGCGGCAATCGATGCAGCAAGAGAGGGATATCGCTGAATTAAAAGAGATGCTTGAAACTGAACGTGCTGAAAAATCCAAACTATTCGAACATAATGAGGATAACAAGTTGTTAATAGGGAAATTAGTGAAGGAGCTTGATGTAGCTAAAAAGAAACTTACACAGGAGTTAATGGATAAGAAGGAAAGGAGGGATAAGTATGAGGCTGAGATGGGCAGGCTGAGACAGGAGATTGAGAGGAGGCATAGGGAGATACAGGATGTGCAAGAGCAAGCGGTTGATCCGATGGATATGGATATACTAAGAGTAAAAATTAAGAAAGAATTCGAGACAAATCACTCGAACGAATTAGAAGAAAAACAAATGATAATCAGCCAGCTCAAGACCGAGCGTGACGAAGTCCGTAGAGAACTTGAGTTCCTTAACACAAAGCATGAGAACCTCAAATTTGATTCCCAAAGAAATGCTGACTCCACGAAGTCAAAGCACAAGGAAGAGATTCAAGGCCTGACCAAAGAGATAGAGCACCTGCAATCCCAGATCGAAATGAGCAAAGACAGGGACCTCCTTCGCCAGACCAGGAGAGAACTTGATGAGTCTAAGAGACGTATCGAGGAGTACCAGAAGGAGTGCAATGAGTTCCGTAGAGAAAGAGATGCTCTTAAAGACCAAATCAACGATCTTGTAATTTCCAATAACAGAGAAATCGAAGAAGAAAGGTCCAGAAAGAGAGAACTTGTTGCTAATAACGATAAACTCAAGTTCAGGATCAGAGCTTTAGAGGATGATTTCCAGAAACAAGTCATTGAGAATGATAAAAAGGCCCAGTCAATTATCAAGTTCAAGACTGAGAAACAGTCCCTAAACTCCCTCATCAACGAGAAAGAAATAGTCATTGACTCCCAAAAGAGACAGATCGATGAGCTCAAAGATCAGGTCAGGGACAGAGAGAATGAGCTGCAGTCTCATCTCAGGAAGAGAGCTGACTTCGAACTCGTTGAAAAGAACAGACTTGAAAAACTCACCAGTGATCTAGAGAACTTACAGAAGGAATACAGGATTCAAGAAGTTGAAAGAGCCAATGAACGGGAGAAGCATTCCGAACAGTTCAATAGACTAGAGTACAACCATAAGATCAACACTGAGGAAAATAGGAAACTTAGAGCTCAAAATCAGGAATTGGAGAAAGACCTCTTTACTAGAAACAAAGAATTGGAGCAAAAGATTGATGAATTCTTGTCAATGGAAAGAGACTATAAGAAATACCAAGATCAGAACAGAGGTCTGCTTATTGAGAAACAAGACTTACAGAAGTTGTTTGATAACTCCAGACTTGAAGCTAAACTTGAGAAGGAGAAGAACACCAAAGCTGGTAAAGCTCAAGACTTGGCGAGCCAGGCATGGGCAAGAGAGAAGAAAGACATGGAGATGAGGATATCAAAGCTACTTAAAGTTCTTGAAAATTACAAATCAGAAGGCACTAAAGAGCAGCTTATTGAATACAAGAAGAAGACCAATGAATATAAGGGCAAAGTTAGGGCAGCTAATGATGCCATTACCAAGCTTGGAAGGAAGTTAGCCATCCTTGGGGCCCAAGAAGGACTCGAAGAGGAATATGAAGACCAATATATTCAATAAGATATTTCAATATAAATAATGAAGATTGGGGTTTTGGGGTTTTGGGGTTTTGGGGTTTTGGGGTTTTGGGGTTTTGGGG